GAGACCAACCTCTATCTTTATCCCTCACTACACATAATAAATTATTTGAGACAGATCATAGACTTAAACATAAAAACTCAAGTAATAAACTTCTGAAGGCCAATATTAAATGCAAATCTTTGTGTCTTGCTGATAGGCAAATCTCTTTAAGCAGAAAACACAATGATCACTTTTTAAAAGTTAGACTTCATCAAAGTTAAAAACTTCTGCTCATTAAAAGTCATCATGAAGAAGGCAAATAGGCAAGCCAAAGACTGGAAAAAAATATTTTAAAAACATATGACTGATGAAGAATTTCTATCTGCAATATATAGAGAACTACTATAACTCAATAATAAAATGCAATCAACCCAGTCAAAAACAGGCAAACGATTTGAATAGACCCTCTCCAAAGGAGAGGCAAACAATTTGAATAGATCTTCTCCAAAGGAAGATACATGAAAGACCAGTAAGAGTGTAAAAATGTGCTCACTATCATTTTGCATCAGGAGAATGCAAGTGAAATCACAATGAAATTTGCATTACACCTCCACCAGAACGTCTGAAAATTGAAAAGAAGTAACTAGTACTCTCATACAGTTGGTGGGAATTTAAAACGATACAAGCACTTTGAAAAAATTGCTAGCAACTGAACATAAAACTAAACATATGCCCACTCTATGACCCAAAAATTACGTTCCTAGATACTCGCCCTAAATAAATAAAAACATATCAACAAAAGTCTTACACAAAAATGTTTATTATAGCTTTATTTATGATAGAAAAAATGAAAACAATCTAATACTCATCAACAAGAGGATGGAAAACTGAACTGTGATATATTTATACAGTGGAAATACTGTTCAGCATTAAAAAGTATGAACAATCAATCCAAATACCAAAATGGGCAAATCCGTCTTAAAAACATTACGCAATGTAAAGGAAAATTTATACAAAGAGTACATATCATGTAATTTATTTATATGTTTTTAGAATAGGCAAAACAAGTGTACAGTGTTAAAGCAAAGCAGTTGCCTCTGAAGGTGTTAGCAGAGAAGATTGACTGGAAGGGACCTGAGGGAACTTTCTGCAGTTATGTTAATTTTCTACATCTTGATAGGGGTTTGGGTTATCCAAATTATGAATTTGCAAAATGTATAAAATGGCACACTTAAGATTTGTGCAATTCAAGGTATGCAAATTTTACCTAAAAAAAGAAACGTGTATATTAAACTCTAGTTAATGATATGCATGCTGAAATGTTTAGGGGCAATGTATACTGTATCTGCAACTGATTTTGAACTATATCAAAACTTAAACATATTGATAGATAATAGAGAAATAGATGAGTGAATAGATATGTAATACATCAAAATAACAAAATGTTAGTTATAGAATATCAGTGGTGGATATATGGGTGATAGCTGTATAATTCTCTCAACTGTTCCATATGTTTGGAAATTTTTATGGTTAATTTTAGAAAAAATTACAGAAGATGTTTGGAAGATCCTAAATGCGTTCTTCCCTTTCAGTTCCAACTCCACTTCTTACCACACTTTACAATGATATACCAAAGTTAGAATTGAGAGAATAGCAACCTCCCATAAGAATATTTAATAGTCATTTAGTGAAAGGTGCAGATGACTCTCCCATTCCGTGACTGCTTGTCCAGTGTACTATTTTTTTAAAAAAATATTTTTATTGATTTCAGAGAGAGGAAGGGAGAGGGAGAGAGATATAGAAACATTAATGATGAAAGTCATTGATCGGCTGCCTCCTGCAGGCCCCCTGCTGGGGATCGAGCCCACAACCCAGGCATGTGCCCTGACTGGGAATCGAAAGATCTCCTGGATCCTAGGTGGATGCTCAACCTCTGAGCCACCCCGGCTGGACCAGTGTACTATTTTTAACCTATGGAATTGGTAATGGGAAAGTGGCCTAATTGTTTTTGAGCTGAATAGTAGGCAGACCCTGAAAGTGAGCCAAATCTGTCTGTTGTATTTAGAGCTAGAGCTATAGACTTAAACTCCTAAGATTAACCACATGAATTCCTCCATTTGAGGCAGAGCAACTCTTCAGGTGTAGAGATATAGTGACTAGACCATTATTGAGCCCATATCTCCACTCTTTCGGGTTTTATATATCTCCCTGCCTATTGGAGGTGATTGCTTGGAGGGCTGGACTTTTTAAAGTCTACATTTAGTTTATAATGAATCTAGTAGCACTTGACATAATTGCACAGAATACCTGAAGTTTCCTTACTAGAAAAAAACCCACACATTTCCAATAATAAAGCGTTATGGGATACCACATTCGCTTTAACATTCAGATTCCGGTTGGCCCAGAGCTGGTTTCCTAGCCTACCCTTGACACTATCTTGGTCTATTTGCAGTGGCAATAGACCATATCTCAGCTATTGCTTTCTGGAAATTTGTTTTTCTTTCTAAAAAAAGTGGGTTTTGAAATGGAGCACATAATTTTACTAAAAATATGATGTTTGAGAGAGGTTATTGTGTTAAATGTTTTCATCTTCTCGCATCATTTTTTAGTAAAGCTGTTATTCTCTTAGGGAATGGGGCAAGGGAAGTCCAAGGGCAAGGGCAAAAATATAGAAAGACAAAAACAGCCCAGGAAATGCAGTAAGGCACTATTGCCAACACCAGAAAGCACAGCATTTTCTGGAACCTGTAAGGTGCCCTTTCCCTCTCTTTGCAGGTAGTTAAAATCATAATCAGAGCCTTAAAAAATGTTGTGTCTGGAGATCAAAAGTTTAAAAGAACCATTAATTATTGATAGGCCTGGATTCTGACAAGAGTGTCCTTGGGGTCAGAGATGAGTTAAGAAGCACTTAACAAATAGGCAACCTGGCAGATTCTTTTTCCAGTACTGGATGAAGCTAAAGAAATAAAAAGAGACGGGACCTTGTTATCTAGATATGCAGATCTTCTATTTACAAAATTATTATTATATTAGATAAAGCACTGCCTCATGACCAGGCATTTAAAATTTAAAAAATGTATGACCTCCTCCTCGGTCATAGAGGGGATAAATGGTGATGGGGAAAAGTTAAAATAAAAAATAAAAAGATGACTACATAAAAAGAGAAGTGGTCATTTGAAGCCAACTGTGACATTCACATATTAAGAAAAAAAGTATTCCTTTTGGCTACTACACTGAGAGAAAACATTTTTGTTTTTCTCAACCTGCATTCCTTCTGGCCATTGTAGACAAATCTGAATTTCTCCTAAGTAGGTCACAAATAAGTTATGATGCTGCTCTTTTCTATTTTAGCAGGAGCACCAGGACAGACAAGCATGTCTTAAGGAGAGAGGCTTCTGGGTACCAGTTAAAGCAACTGTGAGAATCCAGGCCTGATGAGCTCCTGCTCCACTCGTAACCCCCCACATGAAAAGTCCTTTGCCCCCAGCTTTGCCTCAGGACACAGCCATGAGGCCATAGCCTACAGCTCTTGATGAATCCTTGTAGACCTGCTGGTCAGAGTTTCTCAGGAAAAATCAGCACAGAACAAATACTTTTTATTTGATGTCTGTCTTTTGAAAGCTTAGGGCAAAGATACCTCTTTGCAAAAAAATGGGGAAAAAAATAAATTTGAAATTATGCTTATATGGCTATTCTTTATTTCTTCCCTTTTGTGTATGCAGCCTACACTAAATATTGTATTGCCTAGCAGGAAGTCGAACACCGGGGCCCAGCGTGTCTTAAATAAAATAAGAGGCATGTTCATTTAGAGATTGTGAGTGATAATTCAACATGAAAATCTGGGGGCAAAGAAATGATCTCGGGAGCCCGTGGGCAATCCTGGAGAACTGGCACATGGGCAGCCAGCAACCTGGCTCGCCTTCATTACCAATGGGATGTACATCGCCTTTTCTCCCCTGTCTTTATTTATTTTTCAACAGCCTGCCACATGCAATATGCCAAATCTCATATAAAATAAGCCCCCCCCCCCACACACACAGAGAGGAGCTGAAGACCCTTCGGCAGATCCTGGCGTAGACAGAAGCTCAGGATTTATTCAGTCACACTGGCCCGAGTTATTTGCTTGTTTTGCAACGTAAAGAGTTGTTTTATTGTTGGAACTTTCCATGCTGTCGAATTGTTTTCAAAGCCCTTCCCCAGATGCGCTGGGCGTTTACCGGCAGTGAGCCAGCGCCCGCCGTGGAGCAGGGAGCTGGGCCTGCACCCGGCTCGCCCTGTGGGGACAGCTTGAAATAACAGCTATAAAAGACCGTCTCCGTGTCATATCGCTGGCTTCCGTGCGGATCCTTCTAGTGGTTCACTAGCTAGCATGATTCTTAATTTGGGGGAATATGCATGTCCTTCTTTAAAAATTGAGGTGTGTGTTTTTTTGAAGCAGGAAGCAGATTTGAATTTTATCAAATGCTTTCGACAGCTTTCTTGGTAATCATAGCTTCTCCTTTGACCTATTTATACGATCAAGTTTATTAATGGGTTTTTAAGAGTGAAAGACTTTTGAATTCCTGGAATGAATCACTGTGCAAAATGTACTCATTGTCACCATTTTATTTAGGGTATTTTTTACATTCATAATTTTAAAGTTAGGTTGGTTTGCAAGTTTTTAAATCTTCGTCATATTTTAGCATTAAACATTTAATCCTTAATGGATTTCTGATAGTCTGCCATGTGGACACGCCACAACTGATTCCTTTATATAGACATTTATGTTGTTCCCAGTTTTCCAGCATTGTAAATAAGGAGACAGTGAGTACTCTTGGTTAAAAAATAAATAAAATGTGTGTGCATCAAATGGGCATTAAAATCTTTACCCAGGTCACAGCCAGAATCAGACTACGACTCCTGGTATTTAATGGAGAGGTTAAAAAAAAAAGTTTACAGGTTTAATGCCTGTGGCACACTGATCATTTTTCAAGGTTTAGAAGATTAAAGTAGATGAGATTCTTTCAAGCAAGTTTGAACAGGGTGCTGGGAAGCATGAATGGCAGGTGGCTGATCTACAAAATGTCATCCAGGTTCAAGCTTCTGAACTTGATGTTATCAACAAACAACTCAGATTTCATGAGAGTCTGAGGATTCCGACATGGCTGTAACCAAGTCACGTAGTGCAGAAAACGATTTTTATTTAAGGTAAGGCTTTTTACTGCTATGTATGCTTGCTGTTAAACTACATAATTGTTCCAGTATACTAGTATTTGTGAATACAGCTCTTGTCCCCAAATGATCATTAACATTCATGACAAAAAGAATAAAATATAATGATCATTGAGATTCTCTCTTGCAAAGCCTCTCTCCTTATCTACAGCCATAAATAATACTGATAGACTTTAGATCAAATAGCGAAGATTTCATGTTCTATCTCAGAATACTGTATTATATGTCACAATAAGTCTATCACATGCAGTGTTAAATTTTATGTACAAAGTACATAAAAAATTCACAAATTTTGCAATTTTCATGACCAGAGCTGAATCTAGTATTTGGGGTGTGAGCTTTGTTTGATATACACCTGCTGTAATGTTTGATGCGTAAACACAGATGGATGTGTAGGTGTATAGATGTGTTCCTGTATCTATCTGTCTGCATCTAACTTGGAAAGTTGATACCTTAGTAGCAGCTGGGCATATTTTATCCTGGCTCTAGCTTATAGTAATTATGGAAAGTTGTAACCCCCCAGGTATCTATTTGCTTTTAAATATTTTAAGCATCTTTTTATTTGCTCCAGTTAGAAACATTTTATCATGCAAAAGAAGAAAGCAGAAGACTACTTATTGTTTCTTTAAGAAAAATTAAAAATTTATAAAAGGTCCTCTCCCTCCCACCTTCCCTTCCTCTCTTCCTTCCTTGTGTCAGTTCTTTGCTGGGACTGGAAAATAATACCTTCTCACTGTTTCCAAAAGGGAATGCAAATTGAAATTTAAAAGGTATCACGTAAAAGTATATCAAAGTAAAATACTGTGCAAGACGCAGGAATATAAAAGCTGGTGCAAAATACCGCCTTGTGCCCAGATTGGATGCACTATAGATGATCTCATCTCCTTGTTTCCCCCAGTACTAGCCAGAGGACAACCACTTCTGCTGAGAGGATTGCCAGGTTGTTTTCTTGAGGAATTCTGAGAGGGTTGGTTGGTTCTGACACTTATTACAAAGCTTACTGTAGGCTCAGGTAGAGGCTTTTTCTCTTCCAGACAACAGAAATCCAGGAGTCTCCTTTCATGTGGGGAAAGGAAATGGGGCCAGAACAATCAAGGTCAAGTCTCAGTTGAGTTGATGGTCCCGGCTGCCTCTCTGTTCCCCGTCTTCTCTATGGCTTTTCCAGTGTGAACCTGAAACGTGATGGGTTATGTCTTGCCTTGCAGGAGTTTCTTAAGTGAGTTTTTGGTATGAAGAAGTGCCTGGAGCTGTGCAGCCAGAACTATCCCGGCCATGAGGTTAGAGCCCTGGCAAACTGCTGCAAATACTCAGTCTCGGGACTCAGATTTAAGGGCGAATGGGCTGCGCGCCACATCTAGCTGCGGATGTATTGCTTTGCTTTCCCAGGAGAGAAACAATGACCATTGAGAATTGATATGCTTTCTGAACATATTGCTCTGTGGGGCATAAAAATGTAATTTCTTTGTGTCATATCACTGCTGCCAGACAGATACACAGTTTGCATGTATCAATGTAACATTTAAACCAAGAAACACGATGCATTAATTGTATTTTAGAGAAGATTTAAATCAAGGGAACTGAAGCTAGGGAAATGCCTATTTGGATTGCAAAAAGACTTTTTTGTGCTGTTGTTTAATTGGCTGGCTGCTTAATGTCCACTTGAGCACCTACTTTCTAGTTCCTGCCATTTATTCCCTCTCACAAAAACGGTTACTAGATGTCTACTATGGACTAAGCACTGTGTTAGATGTTTGCGTTATAATGATACATTGTAAGAGAAAGATGGGAATACCAGTAACATCCCAGGGGGAAAATACTTTTTAAAAAAGATTAGGAAATTGACCCTTCACTGTACTGGTAATTATTAAGGGACTTGGAATTATTTGACAGGCAGAACATGCTAAGCATTGGGTTCATGAATTACTCCAAGTGTCCGAAGCATGTTTATAGGGGGCACTTTATGTTCACAGACAATGGTGTGAGGCTAAGGGAGTCATTTACATTAAGAATTGGGTTTCAAGTAACAGATTTCTGGACTTTAAAGCCAGCACAGAGTTTCTGAGGGAGGATATGAATTCCCCCTCATTCATCACAGAGGTAAACTTTGGGCTACCTTCTCAATCTGGGTTCAGTGATTTAGGCTTTATCTGCAGAGAGACGGAGCGTGGACCACACGGCCCCTCTTGGTCCTTTCCAGCTTCGCTGATTCTTTGACACACATGTTAGGAAAACAGCTTTTGCCAAAATGGTAACAGACCATTGCTTGGTTTGTTGTGACCTTTCTTTTCTACCTGGTCCAGAGTGAAGTGGGGCTTAGTTAGGAAGGAAGGAGTGGAAGGTGACAGTGAATTTCATAAAGGGCACACAGCAGTCTGTTGCAGGTGAGGACTTGAATCCTCGCACCACTCTGTGTCTGAGTTATTAGGCCGCATCTCACTCAAAGATTAAGGATTTCATCTCAGGGGTAGTTGCTTTAGTTTCTTTTTTCCTGCAGCATTGCCCTGTGCAGAGCCATAATTAAGGTTCTGTCATTGTTTCCCTTATAAACTGTTATTTTCTGGAATTTATAACTTAAGGCTGAAAATTCCCTCTAGGCTGAAACTAAGAAAGTACATTCTGATCTTTTTACCTATTGCCTGCCTGCCTTTCTCCCGTCC